ATAGATTATTTTCGACACATGGACTTTCAAAAATCCCAGAAGCACAAGTAATCCATCATATTTTTGCAATCGATATTGCAACTAAGTAAAAAATATCAGCACAAAGCAATGAAATGTATCTGAGTGGTAATTTATTTATTATTTATTACATGCAGCCATAATTTCAAGCTTAAAGGGAAAGATGAAAAATTGGCACAAAAATAGGCCTAATCTACCACCAGAAATAGAGTTCCTCCAAATACTCTTTCTTTTTTATGAAGAGCCAGCTGTTTTTTGCCTTGATGACACCAGAAAATCGAAACAAATTATGATTCATTATTCTATTGGTTTTTGGCTTAGTTACAATAAAAAAGAAAATCTGAACAAGCTGCGAAAAAATACCAAACAGATCAAGAGACACGGAGATTACCTGATTTGATTTATTATGCTAACAGAGGAAACGGTTAATCTATATGATTGATGAAAATCTAAAAGTCCATATATTTTAGCTTATACTCGGGAAGGCATCTGCCCGATGTTTAGGAGAGTTGTTGAACAAAGTCTAACCACATCATAAGAATAGGATTTTCATCAATTATACACATGATACATATTAAGTAAAAAAAGCGCTTCGGATTTATGAATAATGATGTTTGAAAGTTGCATGTAACTTTCTCAAAATAGTTGGGAATTCATTCATCTGACGTACTGAAGGGATAAAATTTAGTTTATTTTGTGTATTCCGAGGAATTAGGGGAAGAAGCGAAGAGTACAAATGACATTCTAATCGGGTTTTCGTAAGATTTTCCTTTGTGATTTATTATTTTCTTATATTAACTAAGAATATGAAAGGTATAGCTAAGAGCTACACATTAAATTTCGTGGCCACAGAAGTGTATTAAATTTTTTTTTGATTAAATGTTTCATTGAAGTTGGAGGGTTTACTTTATCTTTCTAACAGCTATTTTTATTTTTCTAATAATTATTTTTTATTTTGGAACAAGCCTTTCCTTTATCTTTTCATTTCCACTTACTTTCCCTATCAGAATGAGCTTTCAGGATTTCGATTTATGTAAATGAGGTAGAAACGGGTATTTAAGCTGCAGTCTGGGCCACTTTAGTATAAAAGCGTAGAAGAGCGTAGGATAGCGTGTGTCTTTCGGCCGCGTTTGTTGCTCCTCTCTAAACTTAGTGTTATGCGTCCGTATTGCTACATGCCTGATGGTTATACGCCGGTGATCTTAAATAAAGACCAACACTGCTAGTTGATTATATGAAGCTTCGGCTGGTGTATTTTAGTTAGTATTAGATTAGCTTTATATTTTCTATCTTGAGTTTAAAGCTTAAGTGGAGGTTTATCATAAGCCTAAAGAAGGGGCCATCTGTTCATTTGTTTTGAGTTGTAATAAAGGGTAATTTAAACCTTCTTTGGACTTATTACTTACAAGAACTCAACGAATAGTCGCTACACAGTTCTTTAATATTCTAGCTTTCAAGGAAATCCAATTTACCTAGGATATTACAAAGTTACTGGGCTTATTTTATGTAATTTGGGATATAATAAAATCTTTCATATTATAATCAAACTGCAGGGACTGTTACGATTAATGTGGAATAATCTCATCATACATATCTCATTTTTACCAATATTGTTTCATAGAGATATTGTACAGTACTGCTACTACTACTAATAACAATAAGAATAACAATTATAGCGAGATTTCCGATTAATCTTTGGATTATTTGGCGAAAATTTGGTGACCAACCCTGCTACAGCAACCTGCTAGTTTTTGTTTGGACACCATTTTGTTTTCACGAAGTAAAGGCTTTTTTTTTTTTTTTTTTCCAACATTTTTTTCCAACAATCTGCTAGCCGAATTACGCTTGTGCTAGAACTTTTATAGAACAAAAGTGCTTAATCATGACGAAGATTAAGTGCGAAATTGGGAGAAAGTGCAGAAAAGTAAACTGCTTCTCGCGTTTTTAAGAATTGCACATGCACGGTATCCATGTACACGTCGACCTATTTTCACTTAAAAAAAACATCTCAGAATTGCACAAAAATCGCATTGCGCACACTCTTGACTTTATTCATGCACACTGCTAAAGTCCTAGCTAGTAACCTTTATCGCCTTACCAAAATAATACAGAGATAATTGCCGCTTTCAAAGAGACAGCTGTCCGTCTACTACATCACAAATCAATTGTGAGAGTACCTTAAGCAAAATGTGCCGCGATGGTGAATGACACAGGATGGGATAAAGCGTTAAGCCGGTGGCTAGCTCGATCTTCAGGTTTAATCCCATGTGATATATTTTTCTGCAAGAAAACATCACATCTCTCGACTGTCAAGGATACTGCGTTGGTTATTTCCCTTCCGAGTTAATGTACCGAGTTCTCTTTGCAGCTCTTTATCATCTATGTTATGGATGTGGCTGATAGTTATATATCGGCACATCTATAGGACTGCAGCTAATATGCTAGCACTATTAGTTACTATTTTTAAGAGAGAAAGGGGAAATAGACATATTAAATTGAGAGTTAAGGGACTATTGAAAGTTGGAATTTTACTTTACGTATTTTTTATCTTGCGTAGCCCTCACCCTTCAAGAAACGACAGAAAACAAAGAGAAGCAGAAAAACTGAACAAGAAAAAGGCTTAACGGCAGAAAAATGTTTTTTAAGAGAAAGTATTAGAGTATTAGCAAATCAAAAATTCTTTAAAACTTTATAAAATAGGAAACAGACAATAAAGCAGATTCAAAATTAAAAATTCGGGCTTCCAGGTGGCTATTTTCGGTGGAGGATGACGTTATTCAAAATTGGATGTCTCTAGGTACCGTCGTTTTTTCACATTGCGAGAAACATACATACATTAATGCAGATTCTTCATTATTTAATTTCCTTAAATATAATACAAAGTCATAATATTTGGTGGCAACAATTTAAAAAGTGATGCGCCGTTTATAGTGAACCGATCCAAAATGCCGTTTCGAAACTAACAGCCGTTCTAGGCTAATGTTTGTTTGGGCTAATAAGAAAATTCAAATGGTGCATAAAATTAAGACATGGAAGTTGAATATTCAAGTTAGGCTTTACAAATTTAGCTAATTAATGTTTCACCTTACCCTAAATAATATTCTTTTTAAAATTTTGTGTAGTATGTGTGTTACGTGGGTGAAACACGCCATGCTAAAACTATGGCCAAAGGATTTGGTATTTCATAACCACAACTGAATCTAATTCTATTTTATTTTATGAGTGTATATGGGGCTGTGAAGGTATGAACTATCACAGCTTATATCTAGGAGAAGGTGCAAGGAGTAATAGAAATGCAGAGAGTGCTTGCACATTTTTAGAACGATTTCGGGACACTTTAATTAATTTAATTTAATTTAAAATGTAAAGACTATTTTTTTTAAATGTTCGGTTTGATAGTCTTTTTTTCTGGATTCGTGTTTTCTCTTCTCCATCTTGATTTCCATGATTCTATGATAAAAGGGGCTTTTAGTAAAATACCTAAGAATATTGATTTCCATTCCTCCTCCACTACTTTCTAGAATCCCAAAGGTACAATAGTTCATAAGTGAAATATCAGGGGACTTTGAAGAAATATGATGAAAAGGTTTACATGCAATACTTGTATCAGTTTTCATTTTTACAAGGAACGCAATGGTACTTTTCAAAGTATGACTTATTGCTTTGTCTTAATGAAGTTTCACTATTTGAAAGTCTTTGGGATGAAGAAATATAATTTCTTCTGTACATATCGTAAATAAAACTTCCTCCTGAGAGCATTTTGAGTCGATTTAAACATTTTCTCCAATTTTCTTATTTTTAATTTCCCATTATAAAAGAATCCTGCGACAATCATAAACCCCTAACTGAAGCGTTTGTAAGATTACTGTTTTAATCTATAGCTAAAGTTGACGAACCTTAAGAACTGATAAGCAAATAATCGCTTGTGTTCGTCAGACAGAGAAGAAAACATGAGAAGGGTTATATTACCCTTTATTACTCCAAATAAAGTTTAATAGATGACTCCTTTCTTGGAATTACAATAAAGCCTCTTTCTCAGGCTTGGGTTCAAGGAGGCCTAAAATAAAGCCTGGAACTCGAGCTTGAACTCAGGAAACTAAGAACTAAACTAATCTATCTAAAAAGATATAGCCGAAGCTATCACGATTCTAATAGGGTTGGCCCCTTAATACTAAATAACGGCGAAGCTATCAAGGGCCTAAAGTATGGCTGAGCGTAATAATAGCTCAAGTGAAAGAGTAGCCTAAAAAGGTGAACGCGCGCTAGTCAGAATCATTGGCTCTCTTACGAAGTGAGTAGAACTTCACAGTTAAATACTGCTCCTCATTTGAATTCAAACGCAATTCTGAAAATACATTCTGGCCGGAAGTTGTAAGTTCAAATTCAGGAATATAGGAAAGTAACTTTTAACTAAAGATTAACTGTTAAAAAATTAACATAAACCTTACACGTTCTTTGTACCTTTTTTTAGAAAAAAAAAGCTTTTTTTCAACATTAGGGCTAGGTGTGTTTTTGTAATACAAAATGTGATATTTCATGTAATCCCCATAAAAGAAAGTGCTCTGTCATATGATATAGTAAGTTAGACACAAAATCTTTCGTATCAATGTGTGAAAGATTTGCTGAGACGTTAACAGATAATAGCCTTTTGAAGCAAGTTATAAAATTAATAACAGTGCTGTTACGCTCAATTAAGAATCATTAACCACCAAAACTACTAAACCCATTTAAGGGGAATCTCAAGACGGAAGCATCTGCGACCAACATCATATTTAAGACGGAATTATAACAATTTATTTTATAGTTTCTATCCCATTGTGAATAAAATTAATCGCATTTTCTTAGTAATGGGTACTGAAGACTCATCCAAATCAGTAAATTCCTTTCTTTATAACTTCGCAAATTTTTGCTTGTTAAAGTAATAAAATTTATTTCAACAAAAATTTTAAACATGCAATAAATAATTTTGTTTCGAATCGTAGGATATTCGAGGGAAGACCGACAGAAGCTGATTGGTTAGAAGAATCTCACACTTTGGCTCAGCTGGTCAAGAAGGATCCCAGCGTGGACAAAAGTTATTACTACACCGCATGGTACGATCCTCCGTATCAACTCTTCCACAGAATCAATGAAATTTGGATGGTAAAGAAAACTGAAAAGCAACAACCCAGTCCAAATGCAGGTAACGAAGTCCTGAGCAATGAAAGTAAAGAGCACAAAGAATCGAATTGAATCGTTATATTGTTACCTACAGTTTGATGATTTTGTAAAATTAATCTATTCTGCAGAAATCAGCAGCAATTTTTTTTATTTATCTTCTAAAATCTTTTAGCAACTGCATGAAAAGTCACTTATATATAGTTTTAGGAAAAAAAAAAAAAAAAAAAAAAAAAAGAGATTTTTACAATTGCTTTGGTGCAAAAGTTTTGCAGCACTAAAATTTGGATATTCTGCTTCCCTGTTAAAGCTTGACGGATATGAGGTTTAAACTCGCTTTTGAAAGGTCTTCCCATGCTTTACTAAAAATTAAAAGATATCAATGAAAAAATACGAATACAGTTTTATTTATTTTATTTTGCCTAATATCAAAACTAAGCAAAATTCATGAAATTGAAGTCTAGAAAAGCAGCTAAAATTCAAGTATTACGATCAATTATTAACATAAAATATTACTGATATGCCAGTAATGGTACGTAATACCTTTAAATACATATTTCATTTTCAAATGTTCAAGAAAAGCACACTTCCAAATTTTGCAATTTCCATGCATTCAAAATGCGTGTTAAAATAATTTTGCTCTTCAGAGTGTATTTATTATTATATTATTTATATGTATTTTAGTTTATACTTTACATAATAGTCGCCCTCTTTGCTATGATAAGTGATGAACACAATACCAATCGTGTGTTATTTTTTGTATTTTTGATATGAATATAATAAATCTCTAGAATATTTTTAAAACTTTTATTGCACAGCTTTTACTTTTCCATTTATGGATTGTCATGTTCTGTTATTGTCTGTTATTGTCATGTTCTTATGTATTAAATATATTTTTATACTTAGTCATAATTACAATTGTAATCAGCGTTCATTATTTATGTCTTTAAGAGACATGGCGCATATACAGTTGAAGCAATAGCTTCTGTGTGAAAGATTTTACTATGTAGACAACACTAACATTTCTTTAAAACGTAGCGTACAATGAAAAAAGAATTTATGTATTTACGAAGATAATTACATGCATTAATTACGTATTGTAAAAATTCATGCACACTATTTATTATTTATCGAATTAATCCTTTTATGTTACGCTTTTATTTTGTGAGTATTAAATGTTTTTATAAGGCATCTATTTTTTGTAGTTATGTCGCAGAGCGGGTTTTATAAGCATGTATTTGAATTCATTTATATGTTTTTGTATACTTCATAGTTAAGCTTCATCGTTTACTTCTATGTGCAAAACACATCGTTGGCTTATTTATTGATATTTAAATTTAATATTTATGTTTATTCATATATGATACATATACTTTCATTGCCCCATTTTTATCATCAGACCCATATTTTTGTTTATTTTTATTATTTATACTGAATCATGCATTAATTAATTTTATTTATTTTCATTTGCTTCGTTTTAGTCACATGTGACATTTCTGTTTATTGTTTAATGTTATGCACGAAATGGAATGTCTTTTGATCTAAATATAATGTTTAATAAAACATTTAGGTAGAAAATTTGATTGTGATTTCATTTGTTTCCATTAACTTTATGCAATTTTGATTATTTATTTAAAAAAAATCGAAAATGTACACAAGAAGCTATAGAATTTAAGTATATTCTTAAATCTAATGCAGCAAAATTAGTAAATAAGTAATACATACCTAAAAAGGAAATGCGTATCTAATCTAACATATCGAGGGTTGAAAGTATAACCCGCAATTTATTATGAGTAGGGAAAGGGTTTTAAACTGAGTAGAGAACATTGAAACTAAAATATACACAAGAAGATATGGAATTTAAGTGTATTCTTAAATCTAATGCAGATCTAAAAATGAAATGCGTATCTGATCTAACATACCGAGGATTGAAAATCAAACCCACAATTTATTGTGACTAAAGAAAAGGTTTTAAACTGAGTAGAGAACATTGAAAATGTTATGTCACTGATTAAAAAAGTTATGTCACTAATAACATATACAGGAGGGTCATAAGAAACTTCTCCGATCTATGTATGAGCCCCTAGTAGCATATACATTACATCTACAAAGAAAACATCTACAAAGAAAAGCATTGTAAATTACCAAGATCATTGTAAATTTTTATGTCCACCCTGATTTGTTTTTATTCACCCTATTTGATTTCAGTGAGCAAATCTGTATACAGTCAACCAATCGAAATGGTATTTCAGATATTGCTATTTGAAGGTATGCGCTCGAGATTGTGACGATTTTAAACAACAGATCTCTCTCGGTTACGATTACAGTGAAAACATTTCGAAGATTTCGAACGTAAACACCCACTTATTTCCCTTTCAAATTAATCAGCGCATTGAAAACCACAAATGAGATCGGAACGATACACGTATAACGAAAATTGTCCGCGTAAAACATCTACAAAGAAAAGCATTATAAATTACCAAGATCATTGTAAATTTTTATGTCCACCCTGATTTTTTTTATTCACCCTATTTGATTTCAGTGAGCAAATCTGGTGACATTTCGTAAAGTTTCCTAACATAGTACCAGATTTATATCGAGGAAGATCCGATTTCCAGACGCCGTATTTCCTGTTCCAATGGAGATATTAACAGTCTTTAAATAATCACAGTAATGTGATTCAAAATTATAGGAAATGATTAATTTAAAACGCACCAGTGCAAGAAGTCGTTAGCAAACTTATAATGTATTTTATGTCAAATGAACAATTAAAATGTGTAAACGGAACGCATTGATTTTATTTTAAATATATTTTTCCCAAGTGGCAAAAGAGAGTATTTTGACGGAAGCCGATTTGAACGGTAATGTTGTTTTTTGAAGTGCGCATAGTAATTTTGTATGATCTCAGTGATATGTAAGTAATGCGAGAATAAAGATATATTAGCATAAGTGAAGAATATTTCTTAAAGAAAGTAAGTTAAGCTAACATTTCAAAAGTGGGATTAACTAGAATTATTACCTAGGATTTAGCAACATATTCCCTTAATGTGCACTAAGCCTAAACTGAATGTGGAAGCTCGCCAAAACTGAAGGCAAAAGGTACGTGCATTTAAAAACTGTTTATGTTACGTTTAAGTATAAACGGAAAGAACTTAAGTATAACTATTGTATTATTATTTGAAAATTTGAAAAGTCTAAGATGTCTTATTTGGCAAGGGGCAAGAAATGTGACTTAAAAGAACTTGCCTTGGAACTTGATGTAGATACCTCTTCATCTGATATTAAAATTATAGGCTTAAAAGATAGGATTTTGGATAGTAGGAATTATAATGAAGACTTTACTAAACAAATGCTAGATAGAATTATAAATGATCGTTTAGACAAAGTTAAAAATTTTAGAAAAAGATAAGCAAAGAGCATTTGAAATGGAAATTTTAGAAAAAGATCAGCAAAGAGCATTTGAAACGAAAATTTTAGAAAAAGGTAAGCAAAGAATATTTGAACTCGAAAAATTGAAAATAAAAGTGGAAATCAGAAGTAGTAATGTAAATGATTCTGTTCCTTCTAATGTTAGTAAAAGTAATTTTTGTGATATGAGTAAATTAATGCATAAGTATGATTTGAATGAAGGTGATATAAGTTTTTATTTAGTATTATTTGAGAGACAGGCACGACGTATTGAGTTAGAAGAACAAAATTGGGTTTCTCAGATGTTGGGTCTATTGCCTTATGAAAAAACTCAATTAATTGCCCGTAAATCAGAAGAAACAGCTAACGACTATAAGCACGTTAAACAACTGATATTGAGAAAATTCAAGTTAAGCTCTGAAAAGTTTCGACAAAAGTTCGTTGATCATATTAAAACGTTACGTAATACGTGGAGGGACTTCACGTTTGAATTAAAAATTATTTTGAAGAGTGGCTTGCTGGATTAAATGTAACAGATTTTGACTCTTTAAAACAGCTTATTATTACGGATCAATCAAAGAAAAGGGTCCCCGCTGCTATACGAGATCATTTCATTGATAACTTGTCTAATTTTATTAATACTGAAGAGTTGGCTGAAAAACTAGATGAATATGAAAATATTCGGGCAGGGATAAAAGTATTTCAAGTAGAAAATAAAACTTTTAGGCATATTTCTAAGCCTAAATTTGGTTCTAAATTTTATGAAGGATCCTATAATCAGTATTCAAGACCCAGAAATGTTAACGATTCTATGCAGACAGATGGTAATTTCAAAGTGGGTTTTAAAAACAGTTTTGATAATAAATACAATTAAGACACAATAACACGCCGAACAAATACCAATTCAGAAGCCAAACAACAAAGTTTTTTTTACTTAAATGTAAATGTAAAAAATTGATCCCCAATTTTATTCAAATCAAATCTAATCAAAAACCTTCGAGTCGCGTTTCAAGAATTCTGTTAAATTGCAAGCTTGCCTTACTTCGGTCCGTCATAAGGGATACACGTCAACAATTGTCCAAAATTGAACGTGAACTCTATAAACTTCATCTGGAACTCGCTAAATCATATCCAAAATTCACTGCCCTTGAACAAATGTCTTGGTCTAGAACGGAGAATGCAGTTAACCGTCATAAAAACATCCTTGCATTTAAATTCGAAAAACTTCTTTTACAATCTTCCAGTTCAAGTAGTTCAAAAAATCTTCCCATTGTAAACATCAAGCCAATAGTTAATATTTCTAATGTTAGTCTTTCAGAAGAACAAGAGAGAATTCTAAAATATAATTTTAACTTCTCACAAACCTGTAAACCCTCGATTCCAAAGATTTTGGCTCCTATCAAAAAAGCTTTCAAGTTCAGTAAAGTTTCAGATTCACAGAAAGAAATGATTAGGCATCTTATCGCTCATAATGTGAAATTCAATAATAAACCTTTGAAACCAAATCTAACTGCGAGAGAAAGAGCTACATTGCGTGAAATTCATTCTAACCCGGATATTACTATTTCAAAGGCCGACAAAGGTGGCCAGATAGTCGTCATGGATAGGAACGCTTACATCGATGGTGTCACTAAACTCTTAAACGAAGGACCATATAATCCGATCCCTAAAGATCCTTCACCTTCGAACTTGTCAAAAATAAAAACTGCGATCAAATCTTCGCAAATCATTTCAGGCAACTTAAAACATTCACTTATCCCATCTGTTGCGAATTGTGCCAGATTATATGCTCTTCCCAAAATTCATAAAAGTGGTATTCCTTTCCGCCCTATTATATCAAATTTAGGTACTGCCTCGTATCCATTAGCTAAATATTTAGTTTCTAGATTTTCAACTCTATTAGACAATAACATTTACAGCATAAAAAATTCAATAGAGTTTGTAAAAAAAGTTAAAAACAT